GAGTCTCTGGTTACTTAACAAACGAACTAAGCTGATTGCTGAACCCTAAACTTCATAACTTACACTTCCAAGCTAGAGAATAACTGCAGGTATCTTAATGCAATTAAAAATGACTTGGGATAATTAAAAATACCTTTTATTTAAATAAATTGTATCCACAAGGAAGAAATAATGCTCTTGTGATATTTTTCTTCTCCAATTTGGTATCTTTATATTCCAAGTCAGGCTCTGTCCCTAGGGCTGAGCTATTGTACCTATGAAAAGTGAGCTAAATTCTGGATGGACACTAGTGGACATTAGTTGCCCTTGTGTGTATAGTGACCTTCCTCAGGGGAACTGCCTCTTCTCCACTCCATGTGGTTCTAGTGGGAATGTCAAGGAATGTATCCTGCAGGGGCAGTCATGTGAGTCCGTGCTGGCCAGTCACAGCACCCTACACCATTATGGGTCCTATGGTTGGCTCAGGGAGTGGCATGTGACCCAGGACCAGTGAGACCTTTCTCTGGAATTTTATACAATTGCTTGCAGAGGAAAGCTCGTTTTCTTCTAGAGTCATTAGCTAGGATAAAAGCCTGGTGCTATCTGTGGCTCCCCAAACCTCTAATGTAACTGGGGGTTATATCTCTAATGTAACCCCCAGTTACATTAAAGAAGCCTGCCAACAGTTGGATATCTGAAAACACTTTAAAATTCCTTATCCCTGAGGCCAGTTCTTGCATTGATTTCCTACCTACATGGGCCAAAAAGTTCCCTTTTCCTGCATGAACTACTTGAGAGTTTCTTTCTTTTTCTTTTTCTTTTTTTTTCAAATAGTCACTGGCAAGAGTACTGATTTAATAGTACTATTAAATATCTGCCCAGTCCCCAAATAAGCTTCCACATACATGGCCACAAGCTCTCCTGGGCCAGATCTTGGGGCATCTCGAGGGGTGATGAATAGGAGCAAATACTGCAGCAAGGCAAGGACCACCCCAGTCAGTTCTTCATGGGGGCATAGCCCTTGACCTCCATCATGCCCTCCTCTGACACTATCCTCCACTCTGCAATGCATCAAGGACCCTGGCTTGGGTGAAATCCCCTTGTACTGCACTCCTGTGACACCTTGCATTGCCTGTATTATCGTCATTAGACTGTAGTTGCTTGTTTCATGCTTTGTTTTCTACTTTTTTGCATGCTCCACAAGGGTGAGGACCATGATTGCTTTTGCTTATTGTGTACTCCCCTTGTGCCTGGCACGGCTCCTGGAACTGAGCAGGTATTTAACAAATATATGTGGAACTAGATTGCAATGTTTTATTTAAAATTTATCATAAAAAGATAATTCAACTACCTCCTATATTCCATAGACACCCATCATGCAATCCCTGGACCAGGAACTTCAACACCACCTGAGAGCTTATTAGAAACAAAAAACATGAAAAGAGAAACACTTAGCCCCTCATGTATAAGACATGAAGCATGAATTGGTCCTCATCGTAGAAAGGCCTGGATCTTGCAGGTAGAAAGGCCTGGACCCTCACTGGTCCCTTGGGGAAGAAAGCAGGGAGGGTGGCTTTGCACAGTATGTTGGTGGGTATTGTGAGCTTGATTGTCTCTTTCTCTCTTTCAACAGGCCTTATACCTGTAGGAAATTTGACTGGAGATAGGGAAATATACAGAACCTCAACACCACAAAACTTGCTTGGAAGTCCTTTGGGTGGATTTGACATGCCCTAGAAGGTTTCTGTCAATTGAGGAGAAAAAAAGTCCTCAGCTCCTTAGCAATCTCAGGGAATCTCAATTGCCTGGGGGGAGATGTCACAATGTAAAGATTTTGGCAATGATCTGGTCCTAGAAAGGACTGTTCTGCTATTTGGTAGTCTTCCTATATTAAAAATTGTGGGTACTTTTGACCTTACTCACTGAATGAATGGATATCATTCAAGTACCTACCACATCAGCTGGAAAGACTGCATGGTAGAAAGAAACAAAAAAGCATGATGTTTGAAATTAGACAGACCTGAGTTCAAATCCTGCTTGAGAAAGACACTTATCTTGGCTGAATCTCAGCTCCCTTATCTGTAAAAGGAACAATAATAAAGCCTTCTTTATGGGACTAATGTAAAGATTGAATCAGATCCGTCATGTAAAGTTCTTAGTACAGTGCCTGGGCCCATAGGTGGCATCTCTCTCTCTCTCTCTCTCTCTCTCTATCCTTATCTGTCCATCCACCTGTCCATTTGCCCATCTATCCACCCACCCACCCACCCACCATTCATCTACCCATCCATCTACCTACTTTCCATTCATCCATCCATCTATCCATCTGTCTACCTACGTGCATATCTAGCTATCTATTTTGGTCTGTTTACATTTGTCTATTCAACTATCCATCCATTTGTCCATCCATCCATCCACCCACCATCCATCCATTCATGCACCCATCCATCCATCTATTCATCCATCCATCCATCTGTCCATCTATTTACCTACTCACCTACCTATTTCTGTCTGTTCACATCTGTTTAAATTATCTATCTATGAATCATTATGTGTCTAATTTTGCAAATCTTTGGCATATTTGAATGAAAAAATTGTCTTATTTCAAATTCCAGTGGAATTTTTATGATGCTCGGAAAATTATGCAAATATTTAGTCAAGAACTGGGGCAAAAAACAGTAATAGTGTAGACTTTCTCAGAGCTTGCTTCAGAATGTGTGATGGTTTACATGGAAATGTATTTAAAATAATAGAATGCATTTGCAGGAGTCACAGCTTTTCTTTCATAGACTAGCAGCCTTTGGCATCTTTTTTTTTTTGAGATACTGTAATTAAACGGAACATTTAATTTCTAATAATGCCACCAGACAGAAAGCATAAGTCCACCAAAATGCCATCTGCAGAGTCCTGTAGACTCTCAAAGTACAGCCTGACTAAGGGACTCCATAGCTGTCCATATTCCAGTCCCCAGCATTTTATCCCACCCTAATTTGCACATGGAACTCTGGCAGTGCCCTGCCACCTCTATACAGCTGGTTGTTCATACCCATCCATGTATTTGTGCTCTAAGAAAATTGAAAAGAGAGTGGGAGAGTAAGAAAAAAAAATTAAAGGTCTGTAAGAAACATTTAAAGAAGAAAAGAAGTAATTATGATTATGATTGTATTTGAGACCAGATATGCTTGAAAGAGGCCTTGAACGTACCAAGCTTCAAACCTTAACTTTGACCTTAATTTTTAAATCCAGTTTTACTCTATTCCTCCTCTCAGTCCTTTCTGTCCATTGTTGCTAGTGTGATTTTTGTGAAGTGTTAATCACTAAACCACCCCTTGCTTAAAGAGTCTTAAGTGGCTCTCTGACTCTTTTGGAGATGATGCCTGTGGAATCTTTCCTCTGAAAAATCCATACACGTCAAAGCTTGGCATAGATGTCAGGTTAAGAACCTTTGGGACAAGAGATACAGTCTGAGCTTTATATTATTATGGCATATGCAGGCCTTGGAGATTTGCCCTCTGCCTACTTTGCCATCATCAGCACCCATTACTGCTACACTTTCATCCTGTTTTGCAGCCACATTGAATTACAGAGTAGTTAAGAGTGAAGCCTCTGCCTAGGCTCTGATTCTGGCCCTGCCACTTAGGTTTCCAAGAGCGTGTTCCAAAGCTCTCTGTGCATCAGTCTGCTCATCTCTACAATGGAAATAATAATAATATCTCTCTCATAAGGGGGTTTGAGGATTAATGAGTTAATACATATAAAGCACTTAGAATCATACCTGGCATATGATATGCATCAAAGAAGTATTAGTTATTTTTATTAACTATATGGTTTTATGTATTGGCACATATTACTCTCCCTATCTAGGATGCCTTTTCTCTCCCCAATTCTAGCTCCCCTTAATTGATTCCAATTCATTTTTCAAGATGTAGTTCAAGTCTTACCGCCTTGTGAAGACTTCTGTGGTTTTCTGACAATGCCCCATCCCTCTTACACATAACTCTAGCAATAGGTGGTGCAGTGTACTGAATTTGTAATTTACACATATGCACGTATTTGCACATATGCTATAAGGCTAACAGCTGTTTCCCTCTTGTTTACATAGTTCGCTGCTTTTAACACCCTACCTGCTACAGGGTAGGCTCCCACTAAGCATTTGTCTAATGAATGAATGCGTGAGGGAATGAATGAATGAATACCTTCCCTACCTGGGAGAGAAAGGCTCATGTGTCTGAACATAGGTTTGTGAGTCTTCAAATACTTATTTCTAGCCTAGTGCTTGGCATGTGCTCAAAAATGCTTTCTGAATTGTTCTGAAATACACTCATCTGTTAACTTTGGTTAAATGAGAATTATTTTTTAAGAATCATTTATTTAGACCTTAAAAACTATAATCTACACTGTACATTTATTAAAGTTTTAAGTCAGATCTCTCCTCAAAATAGGCTCCGAAGTTTTGGGACCAAACAAGAAGAAAATTTCCAAAGCCAGAGAACTTTCTAAGAGCTTTCCTCTAGTGAAAAATTCAGCAACAGCCCCTGTTCAGTCACCCTGTCCGTGCTGCTTTATAACACAATACATACAAGAACAACATAGACACAACTTCTCTCTGTCTTGGCTGATAAACATTCATCAGCAAACACAAACTTCTCAATCGGGTAGAAAACAGAAAAAAGAAATGAAAAACAAAAAGGAAGATTCATTAGGTTCACTAACTTTTTTTTTTTTCTAAACACAAATGAGGCCAAATCACTGGAATCCTGAAACCAAAGATGAAATGAAGCTCTGCAGCAAACCAGAATTATGTTCCTTCAAAGCTTATGCCTTTACAGAAATTCTACTCATTAAAGGTCAACATCAAATGGGCATGAGATGTATTTAGACAGCACAAATTAACTCCTTAAGTATCATTGCAACTCTGGGAGTACATACCTTAAGGAGCTATTAAAAAACAAAAACAAAAACCAAAACCGAATATAACTCAACAGTCCTGATAATTTATAATGCATATACAATTGGTTCACCTGCATCCTTTTGATTCTCTATTTGAAAGAGAGAGCACAACAAGGAGAGAAGAGAGAGAGAAACAAGAACACATATGCAGGATTAATGAGCAAGTGGACCAAAATGCCCCCCACTTATGTGTGATACATGATATTGGAAAGAAAAGGTTTCCCTTGGCTTCCCACCGCCCCGAAGTGTGGGGGCCAGCAAAAAAAGGCTCCTTCACAGAGGTGGAAAATGCTGCACAAATAGAAAATTAGTAAAATTAAGTTTAATGTGAAATCAAGCTATGAAACATAAACAAACTCTCCAAGTGACAATTAAGTCATATGTTCTAGCCAGAGCTTAGAGGACAAGGACAAGTCAAAATCTCCAGAGAGAATAAGGAAAAGCTTCCCAGCTTGAGAGAGAACAGACAGGAGGCATAGAAGATCTAATATTTATAGAGAATGGACCACGTCGTGTGATCTCATACCCATAACAGTTTGACATCTTAAACATGGAAAAGAAGGCATGACTTTGCCCCAAATGTCCTTCATCTGACACCTAACCCATTGCTCCCCGGCCTAGCTGCTACCTTTTGATTGTGTACCAGTGACAAGCACTTTACAAATTAGGGTTACACACAAGCAAAGTAAAAATGCATTCAGGTCACAGACAGAATAACTGAAAAACTTACAGACAAATCTGAGTTTATCACAAACAAATGGCTTAATTGTCTAACCTGTTTCAGGCTGATAAAAAGTGACTGGACTTCTCACACTGGGTTTCACAGACAGAACCAACAGACAAGCCAATGCTAAAAAACTTGAAGCAAGGAGAGTGAGTTGGTTTGGATCTGGATTTTCTTGAAATAATGAGAACAGAAAGAGTGAAGACAGCATGGTGAGGAGGTGGTAGGTACTCACGAATGGTTAAATCCATCACTTGGGAGGCCAAGCAGAAGACAGGATGCTCATACATTTCTCTCTTTTTCCCTATAAAAGAGGATTTGGGCATGCAAGAGGCTTAGGTCAGAGGTAAAGAGGTTAAAGGTCACAGGTTAGAGGAAAACGTTACATTAGCTCAAAGGAAAATAGCCACAGAGTATTTTGGGATAAATACGGGATAAAAGAAAAAGGAGTCTCAAAATTGGAAATCTACTGGATTAACCATTCAGCATGCCGTGAGTCACGAGAAAGATTGTGACCATGATTTTACGCATTTCTCTAAAGTTGTTTGCAAGAATACAATGACCAAAAACATCATGAGTAAGGGGAAACAGAATTTCATTGATTTAAGGCTCCAAGATACTAAGGACTTCAGACTTTAGTATCTAAGGCTCTTGAGGTATTTCTTCATAAACATAGTCTCTAGCAATATTACTACAACTTCTTTCCAAAATTCTCAGATAACCAAGCTGTTAATGCTCACAGAGGGGCTCAAATGTAAAAATGGAAGATTTTCTTTCTGAGGCTAGTAACAGAGCATTGTAAAAGAAAGTTGTCTGGTAGTAATATCTTTAAGCTGCAATGTCTCAGCCTATGGTGGACTATGTTCATGAAAGAAAACCTGATACATGCAGCCAGAGGATGTTGGGTTGTCTGAATTCACAATCCCAGCATGCTTTGAAATTGGTGTCTCAGCCACTTTTGCAGAGGTCACGTCAAAAAGTGGTTGAGCCAATCACGGACAAGGAAGGAGAGAAGCAGAAGAGAGCAGGTAGTGTGGAATGAGGTACTTCTCTGAAAAGAGAGTTGGAAAAAAAGGATTGGTTTCTTCAAAGAATCCCCAGACCTAAAAGTCACAGTGCAAAAGATAATTAACACAACCAAGAAGAATTGAGGCACAAAAGGAAATTACAGACCAGCTGATCTACTTTGGAAATGAATGCATTTTTACTTACAGATCTTAAAGTTTGATTTTGGATATATTTATCTGAAAGAAGAGAGCAGATCATACCAAAAGACTAGAAATAGCTAGACCAAGACCTATCAGGCAGCAGCCATGGCAACTGAACGTTTCGTGTTTCCATCCCATCTCTGGCCTTGACTCAAATTATTAGGTACCCGGTTGACTTTACCAAATACAACCGATCATCATGTCCTGGGACGGTAAATGCTGGAACAATTATTTGCTAATACAGCCCTTTCAGGATCTTCTCATTCTTTTATTTTTGTCACTCATTACCAAGTCAAGAGTTGATAAACATCCTTTTAGTGCCCAATTCTTAAGTGTTTCTCCCTGGATGCATAACAATGAATTCATTACCACTGGTACACAATTTGCATTGTCAGACAGACAAAATTGAGAGAGGGCGAACATGTAATGTACAAACACTGTGAATTTGACATGATCTTAACCTAATTCTCTAAGGAAACAAGGATGTTGGCAGGGTAAATGATGGGGTCTGGGTGGTTGGTCAGTTTTGTTTTTTGTTTTCCCAGTTGTCCTGAGGTAGACAATGTACATTTGCTGGTTTTAGTTGGTGTCATGTTTCATGTGTGAGAGAACATCAGATTCCAGAATGCGGACACATCGAGTTTTGCACACAGAACTTCCACATTTATACACTTACACCACTGGTCAAGTTGGGTGTGGTTTTCAAATCACCCTATAGCAGCCAACAGGGTAACAATGAAAAGCGATTAATACCTTTGTGAATGAATAGGCCCCAAAGAACCATATCTTCTCAAGTAGAGTTTAGTCAAAGCGCCTGTGATGATTACCTGGTCACCAGTGACCGCTTCCCTAAAGCTTGAGAGGGCAGTGGTAACAAGCATCCTAGGTCTGGAGTAACAAGAATGAATGAGATCTAAAGCCAACCTGGAGCCATCAGAGGTGGCTCAACATTAACCTGCCATCAAGTTTGAAACGCTACCAAAAGACAAGCTGCTTTCAAGGGGCAAGAGAGAGTTAAGCAAAACCTGGATGTTGCTTTCTTCAATTCTTGTGTTACTTCCAATGCTATTAGCAGTGGATGACAGACTGCTTCGTTTTTCTCTATGTAAAGAAGGTAGAAAACCTTCAGAACTCTTTCATAGGAAAACATTAGCCACAGAGCAGATACTTAGGGCCAACGCAGACTCTCAAAAGGAACTTAGTTATCTGATAACATCCTATATTCAATATTCTTTCCCTACCAAGGATGTTTCCTGAGTTCCTGTCTTGTCTTTTAAAATTCATTTATTTGGTCATAGCCAAGGAAGCTTCCACATTTCAAGTTTCATCAGGTTTCAGCTTAATGTACTCAGGTGGATCACTGTTTTCTGGTGCCCATCAGAAAAGAATAAAACTTCCCCAGGGAGGCATACCAAAATTTAAATTCAAAACCGGGGGCAGAAGGGAGCCTCACCTTCGATTTTGGCATACTCTGAGAGCCGAGAATAGTTGACTAAAGCAGCCTGCTCCAGACATTTACGAATTACTGTTTTAACCTCCTCTTGTGGCACTGGGGTAACAATATCTTTCATCAAGACCTTTAGGTAGAAAAAAAGGGATTACTACAAAGTTTTAAACAATGTGTTACTCATTTATATTTCTTAAGGAGTTCAAGTTTAAACTTAGTTATGAATGCCTCCTGCAACTTACTACTGATAGAGAGCCATGGTAAAGAGAGAGCACTAGAATCACAATGCAGTTAGGATGGTAAAGCTTGTTCATGAATCAGGGGAGGGCTAGGAACATCTTCAACATATCCTAACTATTTGGGAGTCTGGAGATAAAATATCTAGAATTTTAGCAGTCTCTTCGCTCTTATTCTGATATTTGATGGATGGCAAACAGATCCTCTAAAAATTACAAACTAGGTCATTCAATCACGGTATTTCATTACAATTATGTTCATTTCTCTTTGTAGATGTGATATATCTTTCACTTTCATTCTTACCCTTTCCAAGAGTGAGAGAGTGGCTTTTAATGCACCTTCAGGTCGACCAAATGGAAAGCAATACCTAAAAAAGACATAAAATTCTTCAGGTTGCCCAAATCTATTACATTTTAGCATGAAATATGCTGAAATCTGATTCCTATAGCAACTCTCTGAGGAATGGAAAATGCTTTTTATTTTGTCGCACTGTGTTATGTTAATCTGAATTCACACCATATATGTGTGTATATAATGTATATATGTGTATGTGTGAATAATGACTAAAGAGGGACTCTGCAAATGTCTGCAGCAGAAAGGAATATTGAAGTGATGACATAAAGCTCTGTTTAGATTTCTATTGTGAAGGAGAAGTTCAAATGTGACTGTAAGATTATTATGGTGACCAGCATTAAAAAAAATATTAGTTGAAACAGGCTGAAGTTCAAACACACATAATTAAATTCCTAAAGGATGAATATATGAAATAGAGGAGTTTATTTAGAGCAAATTCATAATTCTGCTGTCTTTACTTGCTCATGGTTGTTTACTGTTTTTGAACCTTTTGCTATTAGAAATGCATTTTACACATAGTGTGTGAACAATAAAAGTTTATCCAGGAGGATTTTGATGGCACAGATAGAACTCTGCCAGGTACCACTTGACTATTTCAGGCTGTCACAGGCCATCAGAACACTGTTCCTCATGGTACAGAGAAACCAGTGTGGGCTACCTAAACTCAGACTATCCTATACATGCACCCCACTTCTTCCACTTGCCGGCTGGGGGTCCTTGGGCAAGTTCCTTAACCGCTCTCAGCCTCAGTTTACTCCTTTTTAAAAAGGGGATTATAATAACTACCTTACAAAGTTGTTCTGAGAATAAAAACATGAGTTAATACTTCTCCAGCCTCCCGTCCTGTACCTGCAGACAGGAAGTATTTAATAAATAGGGAGTACTATAAATGCTATTGCTATTTTTGTGTTATTATTAATTTGCTCCAAGAAAGAAGTAGGCTATGCGGTGTAAGGCGTAAGTGCAGATCTGCAGATCTGCAGGATGTCTCCAGTATGGGGGGAGGATTCAATCCTCCCAGGCTGATCTGAGTTTCTTTCTTTCTCCACATAGCCAGCTAGTTCTTTTTCTGAGACAGCAGAGAAGGTGGAGAGTCTCTTATGGGTAACACTACCATCCTCTCCTGTTCATTATGATCTGATTCACAGGATTTTGTTTTGTTTTGTTTTTACTGTTTTATTTAGGAACCTTGAAGAAGCTGCAAATTAAACTTTTTATACTACACTGATGACCAAGGACAGCTCGCACAAGAAAGGCTTTGTTTCGCTAGTGGAAATAAAGTGAACTTAAGAATTCAAAGTCTCCTGGCTACTGCAAAACCATGTCCCATTGCTTTTTCCATTCAGTTATTTCTAAATATCCAATGTGTCTTTGATAGATTTACAGTTTTGGAAAATCAAGCCCTTTATTTACCCCTTCCCAGTCCTATCCTTTTAAAAAGCCCCTAAACCCCATATCCTTACCTAAAATGTGTAATCTGATTTTCCAACAGAACTCGGAGTCTCTCTTTGATTTCTTCAAAACGTTCCTTTTCTTCAACAGTCACAGTTCCAATTCCATCAGGCCTGAAAGAAGACATGTCATGAAGTGACGGGAACCTCATATGCTGACACCATCAAATCAAATCTCTAGCAGGAGGAAACTGTCCATTTTAGAAGAAACAACTACAATGATAGATGTAACCTAAGGAGAAGCCCTGCTATTCAGGGCTGGCTTCTAAAGGGGATGTTTTGAGGTTATCATTTTGGAGACACTTGCAGAACTGGAGCTCATTTTTTCTGAAATGGTGAAATGTACAAAACTAGTGACTTGAAGGTTAAGTCCATCTCCTAGACCTGTTCCGTTTGGCTCACAGATTCTTAAAAAATTTTAACTAGTTGCCAACATTTAAAAAATTAGGATGGCTTTATAATGCAATTCTGATTTCCAGTTTCTCTTGAGAATTCAGAACAGCTGGCATTATTAATAGGCACATGCTAATGGTTTCTTCCTTATCTGGGGCAGGCACTCACCTGGTCCACATCTCTAATTTGCATTACCTGTCTCTCTTTTAGGCACTTGGGTTTGAGACCCTTGGATTATGCACACAAATTCCTATGAAAATCAGGTGCCTTGTAAGTGTCTGTCTTGCCCGGTGTTAAAAGTTCTTAAATGGTTTAGTTTCCAGCTTATAATTATAGGTGTTCAAATTAATTGAAGCACTCATGTATTAACTGAACAACAGCCACATGTTTTTCATCTTAGCAAACTATCGCTAATTGTAATAAAAAGAAGGGCCCTAGGAAAAATAAGTGATTTAGTTTAATCACAGTATTCCCATTCTGTGTCACCATTAAGTGCATACGCATTTTCCCTATTTATTATGGACCATTCAAGTTGAAAACATAAAGAGAGGCTTCATTTTTATAGCCGAAATTTATCTGTGCCAAATTAGATGCTGGATAATCTGACCCATTCAAAGGCTTCAGCTTCCCAGATCTCGTAGTGACTTGTTTTGACTACTGGCTGAGCCAGTTTGCAGATTGGTGTGTCACCATGAAACTTCTATTGGAACATTCTTCAGTTTGCAAATGTAAGTCATCTTGAGACCAAACAAATGGTCTTATTTATAGGCTTTCTCAAAGATCCAGCATAAGTTGGGAAAATCCTTTATACTAGACCAGTCTGACTGCACAAAAGACTTGGCAAATGATAGCAATGTACCTCCTGTTAGGGGTTAATTGGTCAGCTACACTTCTTCTTAAATAATAAAAATGTCCTATTTGAAAAAATGAGAAAACTTCCCCTCCCCCCCCTTACAAAACCCCCCCCCCCCGAAACAGTAAAATCTTGTTCAGTCCATTTCTTCACACTCCTGCAAACTTAAAGAAAGAAGGCAAAATGATAAATATCAGGTAGGTTGTGGGATCTAGGAACGTGTCCTTATTTTCACCTTTTCTGGAAAAATCTCAAATGTTCATTTACAAAGTTTATTAAAATTTTTATTTATATATTTATTTTTTTACATGAAATGCCCACGAATCTGTAATTAAATCTCAGGGTGAATTCATTGCCCCCACAAAATATGTGACATTTTCTTTGGTAACTTCTCATGTTTCTGTTATAATCTACCACTTTCTTTAGCTGTGGCTTTTGAGTTTTGTTTACACAAAATTCAGCTTGCTAATGCACTGAACACACATTTGTTTATGTGATTGGCATGTGCATGCGCACACTTGATTGGGGGGAAAGGAAGCCATTCAAAGCATTTTTTTTTTCTTAGTAGAGAATTAATCCAGAGAGAAATGCTATTAAATATAATTTATAGTTCAGGGAGGGGTTTATAGATCACGGCAAAAGCATGTAAACTATTTAACATGGACAGTTCAGAGATGTCTGTGGCCATAATTAGGAGATAAATCTCTGTGAATAAAATCATTCATTCATACCCAACAAGCTTTTTAAAGCAATTAGGCAATCAGAAGGCAGCTTTTTCATTTGCATTTGAGATGATAAAAACTGAACATTCAGTGTGTGCCTGGTCTTCTCAGCTAATTCTCACTACAAGTATATTATTTGAAAGATAAAATTTGATCATGATTTTTTTTCTTTTTGTCCTGATAGTACACATTTGCGATTATTAAAGGTATTAGACAGCAGCGTCTACTTCTCTGATAACCTCTCCTTGGACTACTTTCTGAACACCATTATTCTCATTATTCAAAAAAAGGAAATAAAAATTATTGTTGAAGTCTCTTAAATTTGCTTCATGATTGCCCATATCAGTATGAGTAGTATTATTTTAAAATAAACAAGCTAACCTTATTAAGTCTGTAGGGCACACAGTACTGAGTTCACCAACAAAAATAGGTGATAAAACAAATTATGATTTTGACATCAAATATAAATTTGTCTGTAATTGCTATTACAAACAGTAATTTCAGAATTACTCTGAAATGGTATTTGTAACAGAGGATACTGTTTTGCAAACTGAGGAAGAGACACACAGGAATAACATAACTTGTCAAAGATCATAGATTATATCAGCTGAAAAGCAAAAGTATAGTTTTTTGGTTTGACTTCACATAATTATTCCTGAAAATTCTGTCAAACATCAATATCTTTTCTGTGGATCCCTGTAATTTGTCAATGTAATTGCACAGGTTTAGATAGATCTCTATAGAGCAACTAACTGAAAAATCTTGGCTAAATGTTTTGGAGAGCACTATTTTACACAGAAGCAATAAAATACTTTTTCTAGAGCAGTGGTTCTCAAACTTGAGTGTGCTTCAGAATCACCTGGAGAGCTTGTGACAGCCTATGTTACTGGGCCCACCCTAGATTTTCTGCTTTGGTAGGTCTGGGATGGGGCCTGAGAATCTGCATTTCTAACATGTTCTCTGGTACAGCTGGCACTGCTGGTTCAGGACCACACTTTGAGAACCACTGTTCTAGAGCAAAAAAATTTTCAGTGGGTGGCTCTTCCAGTGTCTGAAAGGGTATGTTTGATTCACGGTTCCCAATTTGCCTTAGATTGGAGCAGATCTGGAACCAGAGATCTGTAAGAAGTACATGGTCCACTTACTGAACTATCGATTTTTCCAAAAGTGGCATTTGTACTGTTTCCGAAGTGCTATTCCAAGCAGTGCTAGTTGCAAAATAAATAATAGACCTGTATTGGTGTCTTTCAGAAGCCACAAATTTTTTTTTCTGGAAACATTTGAGGGTGATTCTATAATTGTCATAAAACTGGCTCTGCATCTTATTCCTTTCTCAATACTTTTAACCCTTAAGGAGTCACAGAAAATGAGAGAGAGGAGGGATGGAGCTGGATTTTAAATTTCTAGTTAGAAAATTCCAGGCTGAGCTGTGTCTTTATGCAGAACACATGTCAAGGAGCCTGAATCTCTGGTCCTCTAAAGTCCCAGCTGTGCACGTCCTGCCTCTCTTGCTTTTGGCCTCTGCATCCATTGCTACTTCCTAACAGCCCCTGAGTTTGGAGAAATGACTTTGGCCACACTCTGGGTACTTTTGGGAAGGGCAAATTAAAGTGCCTATTCTCCCACTATGGACGCTAATGGGCTTCTTAGAGGCCAGTTCCTCCTTTCATGGCCACTGTATATCTAAGCTGGACTATGGCCTAAGCTCAGTCACCTGGACACTCTCTTCTGGAATCTCTAAATTGAGTAAATGATTTGGGGCTGGCAGAAACAGGTAGAATTTGCTTGTCTCAGCAGCTGTGCCTTAACCAGTCTGTCCTCATAGGTTGTGAGTTCTTGAACTCTGACTGCACCTTAGAACTGTCAGAAGCCCTACCCTCAAAACTATGATTCAGTTTGTCTGCAGTGGGGCCTAGATATTGGCATTTTTCCGGGTTATTCTAACATTTAGTTAAGGGTTAAGAATGACTGCTTTGGTTCTGCTTCCTATTCTTCTGTAGATGCCTTGATTCCAGTGTCCCCCTCCCTTTCTTTGAGGTTCTCAGCATCATCCCAATAAACTCCCTTTTGCTTAGATGATCCAGTTAGTTTTTGTTACTTACATTGAATGTGATGTAAGTTCATAAAGCACGTATCTCCTCCTTCCCCGTGCCCACGATTTTAGTAGAAGATGCCTTTGAACCTAGCTTTAGAAACACACACACACACACACACACACACACACACAGAGGAAATCCAGTCCTGGTCTCTGGTTCCATCCACCTAACTGCACACTGGCTAACAACTCACTTCTTGTATATCATGATCCTGCAAACTTGAGACAATATGCAGGTCAAGTGCAGTCATTTTTGGAGCCTTGCCGGAGACTGGAAGCTCTACCACCTGCAGGCCATCACTGGGGCCAGAAGTGGGTCTCTCCAGCCACAGCAGACTATATCGCATCTGACACGGCAGGCATCTCCGGAATCCACCTTTCAAATTTTCGGCAAACCATTTTCTCACTGTCCTTCACAAAGTTGACATTTTTGGCAGCATGATAGGAGAGATGTCATGTCGGCTGCTCTTCAAGTTCTTGTCACAGTGGTTAGCACCAGTTCTGTCATCTTCACTCTCCTCACAGTCTCCCATCTTGAGCCATGTCACAAATAATAATATATCTAGAGTTCCATTTTTCTTTCTTTCTTTTTTTCCCCATCAAATTGAAACTACCATAACCCAGCTATCCATTTTTTGAGTTATTGGTACTGCAAATTGTTCTCCCTTTCCCCAAATGCTTCTGAGCTAGAGCTTATTAATTAATGTCTATTGTAGGATTAATCCAATACGATTAAGTACTGGGTTTTTAATGTGAAACATTTTATTTTGATATTTGAAATTAAGTGTGAACAATCTACTCAAAGAATTCAAGCTGCCATGTGTTTTGTGAAATGAATTTACCTCTTTGGGGTCATTAAATTGTTGCTACACACCCAGGTGAGCACACAGATTCCTAGCATTTAATTATCTTGCTAGCATGTTTCTCCACATTTTGGTGAAAGCTGGGCTACAAGACCTCCTTTTGAAAGGTAAGATTTCTTTTCAAGAAGGTCAGGATTCTAAATTAATTCAAAGCTTACAATGACTGATGTGTTCTGATATTGCCTCTA